ATTGCATTCATAGTTAAAAATCACCTGTAAATCATAGAAACCCTTTGCAAAGATATTAATAAGCTAGTTTTGTCATAGTTATTACTTTAATGGTGAGACCGTTTATATTATATTTGTTATTCTGGATTAACAAATGGTAGGTTTCCTTTTATCATTACTATAGTTATGATATGATAATCGACAGAAATCTACGATCTACTGCTACATTATGTAATATTCCCCTTGGACGCCATTAGTTACGCATCGGTTATAAAAAAGAGAATTGCAACCTGAAACTGACAAACACTTTTTTAATAAATGTCATCCTACAGACTATTTAAATTGATGACGTTGCCGTGCCACAGGTTTGCATTGTTCTTAAGAATGTGAGGAATGCCGGTGATGTAAATTAAGTAATGATGCAATTTCCAATAATCACAAAACTGAATCCAAATTATAGAAACTGACAAAACACTATTAGCAGGTGACATAACGATTGGAATCAAGGAATGAAAAACGTTTTAAACAACACTTATTATTTACTCTTTATTGATTATAACAGGAGCGTCTATTCAATCGTAAATCATAGACGAATAGGAACCCATTGGCGTTGGAAACTTGAGGAGACCTGGATGTTATCTAAGGGGCCAGAACGGATATGACTCGGTTAAATAACTCGAGAACGTGAACAAAGAAATCCTAACACATACTTAGAACTTTAGTATATTATTTTGTTTTCGTTAAGAACTAAAGAACCAAACATAAATAATATAGTTTGATTACTCTCCTGGTGAATAAGGTACATAAAGAGAATATCAAGCAGTTGTTAAACCTCGGCTAAGCAAAGATAACATCAATCAAATGGCTAACGTTAATTTCCCTGGGTGTAGAAGTCAAACTTGAACCTTTATCCAATTTCGGCATCCTTTCTGTAACTAAGTCACGCGCAACTCATCGGTCATAGCTCGAGGACCCATAGTTCGCACGTGATTTAGCCCTCAACATTTTGGAGATTATCACCATGTTTTCGTGATATAAATATCAAACGTGTAACATTACAAACTTTGTATTCAATGGTTTGTCTGGATTTATCCTAGTAGATTAACCGTTATTCTGCTTCTTTGAAGGTTCAGGGTTGAGGAAGAGAGCATAAGAATATGGCGGAATGGTCAATCATGCAGGGTGAGCCAACAAAGCTAATTAAAACAAATAACTAAGTTAATAACTAAGTCATCCTGTATGGGTTTAAAGTCATACTTGGTACAGTTAAATTTTGTTCAATGTTCTTCCATTCAAGTAAGGTTCATAGGACTATTTCAAATGGTCGTGATTTCGTGTCCATTTTACATAACATGCACCAAATGCCAAAAATCATCAAATATGAACAACGGGAATTTAACGTTGGGGTTGTCTCAAAGATAATGTGTACACTAACAACCCTAAACGCATAAGGGTCGAAATAAGAGATTAGAAGGAAATTGAGAGCCATAACACAAGATACCTGAGAGCGTGTAGTCATAAAACTCCACCCGTTGCGCTCAAGACGAGATCGGTATTTTGAGCATGCTTTGTGAAATGGTCATAAAATGTTCACCATTTAGAATAGACGAATGAAACTTGGTGGAATGAAAAAACATTGAACAATAACTGGACTACTGAGTTATTGAGATTTGTTTGCGTCCCTTTTTGGCTCGCCCTGTCCATAAGAATTGCCATGAACTTAATGATCCTCCTATTAGCATGTGCTTAAGGGAAACCGAGTGGATACATTTTTCAAAAAGTTCAGTTGTGCGAGGGTCACTTTACATGTTATCATAATGAAGATAGACGCGAAATTATAACAACTCTACAGCCCATGATAAGAGATGTTCTGCAATAAATACCGCATTCAGAGAACGGACCTACCGAAGTGCTTGTTAAGTAAGATATATCGTTGATGTCTGCGTGCAAACTTAAAGTATTGTTTTGCCATTGAAATTAAACATAAACTACTAACATTTTGCACTTGTTCGCACGAAGTACTTTTTCAAATTAATCTTAAACTAGAGAGCAGCAACTCCATTGAGGAGCAAGTCCCACTAAACAATACATGTTTGATAAATAGCGGCCATCTTGAAGATTTCTCCTTGAACAGAGCTCCTTTGTACTTAGCTATCAGCATAATATTTCATTTGAACCAAATTCGCCCACTGGTATTTGAGTTATGAAAGATAATGTTTTTTAAGATAAATGGTGGTAATTTTGATATTCAGCTGCCATCTTGAAAATTTCTCCTTGAGCAGAGCTCCTTTGTCCCTGGCATCAGTATATACATTTTGAACCAAATCCATAAACATATAAAATCTTGTTCTTGTCCGAAAATGGAAACCATTTTGAAATTCAGATGCCATCCGGAAAATGACTGTTCATAAGTAGATTTCATATTTCCCTCTGCACCAGCATGTAAAATCTGAGCCAAATTCGTCAACTAGTATTTGAGAAATAAGATTACATTTTTTACGAAAAATTGTAGCCATTTTGAATTGGGTGGCCATATTGAAATATTTTCACGAGCAGAAGTCCTACACCCATAACGCATAACAGTCAGGTTCAGTAAGTGCCTCAACATTCGAAATTCGTATGTTCATCAATATTTACTGAGAATGGTGCCACAATTGAAGTAAACCTCTGGTTCTTATTTTCAATATACCTATCGGCAAACATGTAAATGATTATTTGGATGTTCTGTTACATATTGGTGAAGCAGTCTTGAATATATGGCTTAAATTTCTGAATTTCCCCTATGTCCCTGTCTACCCCTACTTCAAAAGATGTATGTTGTTTGTCATTTTTTATCATGAACCAAGCATGTATTTTTTCTTGTTTACATTTAGAATGAACTTTCTGGGGTTTTTTAATACTGACAGATGATAAGTTGCATTTATTTTTTCATGATATGGAGCAAACACAGGCGTGTCAACTTACACTGTAATATCCAACATGCTTATATTTCAAGTGTACATGTAGTAATCAAGAAAATCAATGTTTTCAAATGGATTCATCCTTGACAAAGAAACCAACAGCATGTTTCAAGTTCTTACAATTCTTGGTTGCTTTTGAAGCAAATATTTTGAAAGTTGATACTTGTGAAGTTTTTCTTACGATATACTATAGCTGGATCAGAGAACCTTACCTTGTTCGAGATGCACGAAAAGTGTATTGTTAATACTAAACGTCGTTCTGATATTTGGATGTGATTCACGTTTTCGGTAATCTCCTACTCCTACCACTGTAACTTCCAACTAAATTTTCGAAAGCCATATATGATGGTCACGAATTGAAATTTAGGTCACACATAACATCAATGGTCGAAACGGTTTATCATCGAGCCTGGCGAGTTTAATGTATCCTTTTAATAATTATCGTATCGGATTTGAGTATGATTTTAAATGGGTCTCGGACAAAGCAAGAGAAATGCATGAAACCTCTTGTGAAAATTCGAATTTTTCAAGAATCCTCCTTCAAAGTGTTACCAAAGTGCTCCCCTGGAATGGAAATTTCGTCTTGTGCAATCAAAATAACAGCGGGTAGTTTGAGTTTGTTTGAGTTTATAGCTTACATCTCTAAATTTAGAAATATATTATCTCAATGAAAGGAACGTGTAGTTTTTGGCAATCGGTCATAATAAAAAGCTAAATGTTGTGAAAAACACGAGTTGACACATTGACATTTCAAAATGTAGTCTCCTTCATACATATCGGCTCATGTTTAAAAGTCACCTAGAACTAAAGAGAGAATCAGATATAGCAAGCAGGCTAAACAAAAAATTGTCTCAATTTTAGAACATTTTTGGCTCATGTCATTCCTTGTGATATCTATTTTCTAAAAATCACAAAAGTGCATACTTTATTCAAGGAAAACTAAAGATTTTTACAATAATGTATTATTTTTCTTTAAGAATGGTTACCATTCTTATAATTTGGGAGAATTTAAACATTTTCCACCAATCTTTGCACGTTGAATCATTAATAACTTCAACAATTTATAACATATTTTGAATCTTTTGAGAGATATTGTATTTGATATTGTAAGGAATAGATTGGTAGGTCAATTATAAAAGTTGCTTGTAATTTTGTCACCCCCTATAGATCTGATTCTGCCTTTAAAGATTTCTAATACTTATTTCGTAACCGCTTTGTTAAGAATGGATTCGAGATGTACTCAAAATAAATGCATTAAAATGTGTATTATCATCTTAATAACCACATCACAAATTATTTTGGAAATTAAAGATGTACGATTTTTGATATTTTTATCTTCGAATGTTGACACATTTGCTGAGCCTACGAACTTCGTTCGGTGGGATAACAACTTTTCAGAAATAACGTCTTTATTCTTTTTAAAATACCATTATTCCTAGTTATGATATCCTGAGCGATCAGATCAAACACTATATAGACCCATATCACAGGGTGTGTACCAAATCAAGCGGGATAGTTGAACGCGCAGGGTAAGGTATAACACGAGGGTGATGACATTTGAGCAAACCGATGTATTCATCGTTTCAGAAAAATCTGCTCTAGTTTCTGGTCTATTTTCATATGTAAATGTCTATGATAACATCCTAGACAGTGAACATGACATGACAGAAAAATTCATAGTTCCACGTCTGAATCTGGTTCTTTGTTAAGTTAGTGTTACAATATCCTCGACGTTGGTCATTCTCGGATGTGTCCTTGGGTTATTACGTATATAATCGTGAAGTTCTATTGATTGTCAACATCAATTTCAGGACGGAATTAATCAGGTCGATCATTTTTAAGTTTAACAAAAAGAGTGGCTGTAATAATAGACAGAAATTCTGAGCCAGAGCGGTAGTCATTAATAAATAAAATACATATACGTAGCTAATCTCATGTATTTGTATGTGGTACATTCCGATCGCAAGCAAGTTGTGACATACAACAAGTCGTCTCACGAAATAATTTGAATTGTCATGTCCTATTCCAGTTATGAAAAAAATATTTCTTGTCTATTTGCAGGGCGTGTCAGTAGCTGTATCTGTCTTGACATTGAGTATTATCTCATTGGAACGCTGGTATGCCATCTGCCACCCATTGAAGTTCAGGGCCACTGCGACCCGCGCCCGAATTATGATTGTCGTAATTTGGTGGGTGTCGTGCGTGATCTACATTCCTGAACTGGTCTCTCTAAAAATGTCGAGAACCCTGCCCCAACACTATAACTTCGTAGATCTCCTGACTAAATGTACGCCTATCTGGCCGGAGTCACTACCTAGCAACAGTCAGATGATTTATCAGTTGTTTTCCATAGTAGCCCTTTACTTCATCCCGCTCTGCTTCATGAGCTTTACATACATTCATATCGCTGTCTGCCTCTGGAGCAGAGCTATCCCGACAGAAACCACGGGATCAGGTAACATATTAGATATTTTAAACTAGCAATATTTTCCTCAGATAATGTAACTTCTGATTGCAAATAACATATGGGCTGTAACAGAACCATCATATTATTCTTTCTATAACCCGTTGATCAGTTTCTGTATTAGTACACACGTGTTCCTACGGTCACGGATACGTCATGGAAAACGAAAATAAATTTACCTGGCCGTTAATTAACTCAGATGGTTTATTCAAAGTTTAAATTTGCGCCGAAAAATAAGTCATCTAATAACAATAAGTTATTATCTATTATGGAGCTATATTTTACTTTTATCTGAATCGTTCAGGTTGAGTCATCCAAAATGATTCCTTTGATTATTTGATGTCTTCGTTTCAGCATGGCCGTACTTCTGCTTGATAATAATTTTTGTTTTCTCACCTTGTTTTTATCACCTTTATGCTTCAAATATCAAATAATGATCGAAATAATTACCGTTTTATATATTTATGAGTTGTCATAATATTTTAAAGCCGGAACCTACTGACTACACACTGGCCAAATATTAAGTTAAAATTTGATGGATAAAGGTAACAAAATCAAGAAAACAAAAATGTTTACCAAATTCTTTACCGGAAGTTGGCCAAGCTGAAACGAAGAGAAGACATCATGTCTTCGTTACTAGTTGATCCCCGGTGGCCATAAACTATGTTGTTTAAGACACTTATACAATTCGAACATTGACCTTATTGTAGGCAAAGGAAGGGTAATAGCAAACGACAGACAAGCACAGAGTATGGAGAACCAACTTCAGGGGAGGCGAAAAGCTGCAAAAATGCTGATTGCTGTCGTCATAATGTTCGCTATATGTTACTTACCGGTTCATATGCTGAACATATTGAGGTAATAATCGAGAAAACAAATGATTTTTGCCGCTATAGTTGAACGATCCGACTTTTAAGTCTGTTTGATGATATATCTTCTTAATAATTAAATCTCATACGTTGCTTGTTGAATTTTGTTGGGCGTAGCTTCGAGTAGTAATAACAATTTCATCCGATACGTTGAGACATGATCAGTATGGGTCAATATATGATATGTGACATCTAAGCAATTTGAGGACATTGACCTACCCTGCGCGCAGAGTCTAGTTATTAACTACGAAGCTCTCTTTTGAGAAGCAAAGTCGAACGAATGCAAAGAGTAATACATTGACCACAAAATACAGTTGATCAATGATTATTGATTAATTCATGTGTTTTAATACTAATATTTTAGACTAATTTTCCAGTGTTTAATCAAATCAGATGTGATTTTAATGGTACAATATTAGCGACCATCACCAGACATTAAGAGTTTCACGCAATGTATCACGAAATTTGATCTTTGGTCATATCATTTGTGGAGAACATCTGTGTACATCTTAGATCATTGTTTTAAACAACAACAATGCTCTTGCCGGCATTTTAAGTACACCATCTTCAATTCTAGAGATGCACGGTTCTCAAGCGCCACAAGCTACGGACGTCCTATCATTCTTATCATTCTCCATTTCTTGTCCATGATATCAAAGTTCTCTCTCTATGGGGCTTTTCATCTTCTTCTAGCGCCCCTGTTTCTTTTATCCTATGTCATTTCAAATATGTGACTTTCTCCAGTGCCATGGACCACTTTTCTTCAATTTGCTGTGTTTTTATCCTATTTCATTTCAGATGAATGCCGGTTCTCTCCTCTGATAATATTACCATTATTTTCTATTTCAGAAATGACAATGATCTCTAGACCCATGTTCTTCTGCACATGTACTTGTGTTTGTCCCTATAGATATTAACTCTGTATCTCTATTGCCTTCGTTACTTTCGAATTCACCATTCTCATTTGTTGTAGATATGCTGGAGTTCTCCCCCGTCATGAATCTGTGGACGTTCTTGCGCTTATTTCCCATTGGCTATGTTACTTCAATAGCGCCATCAACCCTGTTATCTACAACTTCATGAGTGGTAAGTCAAACATCAATATACACTAGCGACCTTCCTTTAGATGTTTCCCGATTAATGTTAAGGTTTTTGCTTGTAGTGTGTGCATAGTACATGTGTATGAACTCTTAATTCATTCAATTCATTTGAGGCCGTAATCAAACGCGGTCCATGACCGCGTTTGACAGTTTATGCATATTGTAAACCTTTTCTGAAAATGGCGTTTAGTGTTTTTAATTGACGCAATGCATTGATTCGGAGACGACACTTAAAAGCTTGATTTTTCAAGTTTAACGATGATGTATGAAATTATAATTGAGCAGTGCAATTGGCGTCAGTTATAAACTAAGTGTCTCAAACAATTCACCAATACTATTGTGTTATCCTAATTATACTGAGAATTCTTGTTCAGTGTTACCAGGGTTGCTGGAAGATTTCCGAATGGCATCATCACCCATCCTTTTACCCTTGCATAAAAGACTAGATAGATTCTTTGTTCACGGAGTGTAGTATTGCATCATGAGATTTCTTTCCAAGGGTATACTTTCAGTCCTATGTTCTGTTCATTTCAGAGAAATACCGTAAAGAGTTTAGTTTAGCATGCAAGATATGCTTCAAATTATGCAGTTCAACCACCTCATCAAACCCCGAATCGATTCCAAACCGACGTTTCCAGCAACACGTACCACTCATCAAGACTCCAAATGGATCATCCCAGTGTGTCCACAACCCTAGGCAAATTCAGTAACTACCTCTCCATCTCCTTTGTTGTTAGTTATAGCCGATCGGGTATTGTTGTAGTGCCGTTTGAGAAGTGACAATGGTATTGGTTAAATGTATGTGATTTATTTTGCTTTGTGTTTATTTTTTGTTGATATACATTGCCACTGGTGATCCACTCGATTACGCTGGTTACCAAAACGAACCGTTTTGGTAACAAAATGTCGGAACGTCGAAGGCACGATTTTTCTTTTTTCCTTATTTCACGCGTTGTAGGCAGAATCCCCACGATGTTTTTTCTCACAACGTGCATCAGTATCATATGTTTTAGAAAATGTACATGTTTGCGAAAAAATAGCTCAGAGGACAACAGAATCGTCGATTTACTTCCTCACTTAAGTTACATAAACGGTTTTTCGAAAAACAGTTAAGATCTGCACTTTTAACCCAAACCGTTTATGTAACTTAAGTGAGGAAGTAAATCGACGATTCTGTTGTCTTCTGAACTATTTGTTCGCAAATATGTACACTTTCTTCAACATATGATACTGATACACGTTTGTGTTAAAAAATGTCGTGGGAAATCTGCCTACAACGTGTAAAATAAGGAAACGAGAAATATTGTACCTTCCGGATGTTCCGACATTTTGTTACCAAAACGAACCGTTTTGGTAACCAGCGTCATCGAGTGGATCACCAGTGATTGCTGTGGTTGTCTTGGTGTAGAACTATTCTTTAATTGAAATCATGCAAATAAATATTGCAGTTATTGCTTAAGTATTCATATTATGACTATTGTACTTCCCTACTTTAGTGACCGCTTTAATTTCAGTGGTGAATTTGTCAGGACCCCGAATTTCGCCAATTCAAGTCGTCGCCAATTTACATTTATACATAGTAAATGATACATATGCTCAACAAAATCAGTGAAAATGTCAGTTGTTGCCCAAATTTGCAAAATTAGCCAAATGAAATTCCTTTTAGTTTTATTGCAAAAATTAGCCAAGTTAAATCTCATTTTGTTTTCTTGTATTTTTTAAATCAACCAAATGGTTGCCTTGTATAGAACTATTCTTTGATTGAAATCATACAATGAAATATTGTAGAGGTTGCCAGGTTTAAATGTGTGTTCTTTAATTGAGAGCCATGCAGTGTTTTGTGTGGGAGTTTGCTCATTTGCATGATCGTCTATTATATAGAACACTTTTAAAAAGTGGAAACTGGCTAACAAAACAAATTATGTAGTCGTGATTGCCGCGAGACTCATGGGATACGGTTCGTGTCGTAATGAAGCTTATATTATCCCCTATGGACGTTCGCATAACAGAGCAAAATGTCAACTCATTGTATCATATTTATTAAAAGAGCACGACGAATATTCGAAGGACTTCGTGTCCAATTAACTTTCGCTGGTGTAATCTTACTAGTGTACATGTCATATGTGCCAGATATTAGCTCTAGACAATTCACTTGTAGCTCATTTCACCTGTTCTTTCCTTAATTATAAAATCAACCTAAGTATACTGTCCGTTGAAAGCTGCACTGCCAGGGAGTTCAGATTCAATTCAGTTTTGAAAAATGGGAGCCCGTTTTCTGTGATTGGAACTACGGTGCATATTTAATCAGTTCATAGTCATAGTTTCAGCTAATATTCAAAGATAACTTTGCAAAAATCTGAGCTCTTCGCTATTTTCCCGTTTCTCTTATTTTTTTACAAAATATCCAAAAATGACATGTATATAACGCACACCAAAACGACTCCATGATTTGTGCCTACTGAGTTTGTGTTAAATGTAGTTGAAAAATAAAATTATAATCATCACAGGGTGTGTACCAAATTAAGCGTGGCAGTTGAACGCGCAGCTGGGTAAGGTACAACACGAGGGTGATGAAATTTGAGCAAACTGATGTTTTCATCGTTTCAATAAGATCTGGTCTAGTTTCTAGATATTTCTATAAATGTCTATAATAACATCATAGACAGTGAACTTGACAAAGTATTTCATAGTTAAACCTTCAAAGGCTCAGAATGTAGTATACGGTTTAACGCGGGGTAACTTAACGGTAAAGTACAAGGAATTTGAATTTGCGTTATACCGGGATGTCCATTTTCCTTCTGACTCGAAAGAGGGGACATCCTAATAGCCACTTACATTAATAGATTTGATTTTCCCATTTTTATAATTCTGCTTTATTTGGCCTTACTTAAAACATTGACAGCGTCCTTTTCCATTTCAGCTAAATTCAGGCAAGAGTTCCATACGGCGTGTCCTTGTTGTTTCTACGCATGCAATAGGGTAGCGAGGAGAAAAGGACGATACGATAGCTACTCCTATACGTACAAATACTCGAACAACATTAGTCAGACTGAACAGATGTCAATGTCGGCAGTCAATTCAAACGCAAACAGTGTTGGTTGATGTAGAATAGAGTGGTGGATATAACAGTTTTGGAGACAGACTCCTATACACATGGTACACCCATGTTATTAAAAGTGGGCTTGCTATAGCTGATGATCGTATACATATTATAAAATATGATATAGCGACAAGAATTTAACATTCTAGCCTAGCCTATATTAATGATTTTGTGATCTGATCGAAGGTAAATCTATAAGAGATGCCATCGTGATCGGGGATAAATCTGATATACTGTATACACGTGTATGAATCATATGAAATAACCTCTATCTGTATATAAACGACAATTAAAATACAATATTATTATATTGTCTTGTAATCAATATAACAACTGGTAGATTATGTTGAAAAATGTGTCCTTTGTTAATTTGGAACAGTTTGCTGTAAAATGAACTGACGACTGGCTCAGTACGTCAGTAGTTAAGAAAGTTTAAGTGCACATGTACGTTGTAGGATGGGGTCAAATTCCAAAGCATTTTCTCACATTGCCTTTGTGATGTGTCAGAGTCTAAAAATATATAATATAAATATATATAAATAGCATAACCCGGGCCAAATATCACCTTAGCCATTTAGTAAAGGATATTGGGAATTGTATGCATCAGCATTGCATTTGCAGTTAGCTAAGATCTTACTGAAATATCAGTTTCACTGGTCCCCACCTGGTTAAAACGATGTTACGTCTTTATAACAAAATGAATGAACTTCCTTCTGAGGAAATCATTTTCACCAAGAATTTGTGTCCAAATATTTTACCCGTATTTATTATCATTAAAACGTTGGTCAGTCACGAGCAAATATATCCGACAGCTCCAATAATCGAGTAAGAATTTCTCACTTCAGCAACCAGGACGTTATAGGACGATAACACAACGCAACCGAGACGTTGTAAAATCCGTCAGATAACGTCCTGGTTGCTGAAGTGAGCAATTTTTACACGATTATTGGAGCTGCTTGATATATATGTTCGTGACTGACTAGATTTTCAGTAACCGGATGTTACTATATACATGCTGGTAAAATATTTGGATTCCAATCGACCTCTTTGTTGGTGAGAATGTTGAAAATAAAGATTTCATCTGATGGAAATTCATCCATTTTTTTATAAAGACGTAACGTCTTTATAACCAGGTGGGGACCAGTGAGTTTGGCACATTTCTTCATGCGAGGGAAAATTACTGTAGTTCAAATCTCGAGTCACTGCATAATGAATACTGCATAATAGTATTTGCTGATTCTTACCTATACGGGTACATGTTTCGATACTTTCCTTCCCAGCTGGTTTTCCATCTTTATTCTCAAAGAAAAATCTCTCAAGAGAACTCTTGGTAATTTTAAAATCAGATAACTTCTCGAATCTTCAATTCATTGAAATATATTGTATATTGCAATTGTAACTTGATGGTGGTGATTTAGTATATCTAGTTTTGAGATTACCCAGGTGACATATTAGAATATTTGTGTAATTAGCAATTTTCAGTACGTACGATATCTATCAACTACTTTGTGGTAGCATTGTTCCATTGCGGATCCATTTAGTAAACTATGGTAGTCAAACATGAAGTATTTCTACTTCTATGAATGTTCATCTCTCTGGTCAGTACTAATGTACTATTAACAAAGTCGTTGATTTTCTTTCTTAGAGATATTTATTTTTCTTTTGACGTTTCGTAGGATGTCCATCCATTCCCATCTTTATGCCAAAAGAAAAATAAATATCTCTTAGAAAGAAAATTAACAACTTTGTTAATAGTATGAAGTATTTCGCCGGGATGTCATAGTTGCTCATTGGCAGTTTGGACATTATGACATTATACCTATCCTTTAGTGACAGTATGTAATTTCAGAGTATTCGACAAAAAAATCCTGCAGGGTAGATCTCGTGTAGAGTACATGTTGCAATATCGTGTTTTCTCATATTACTTCTCGATCCGCTATGACATGTTTCTTTATTCTCGTCTTAGACTCGATAATGGATGACTATCAAAGTTCACCAATAATGGGACAGCGTAGCCTCATATAATAACCATATCTTGGGCAACAATTAACGTGCCTCTACCAGTTTATTTAAAGTAAAGAGTCGAGAGATTTAAAAATATAACCAACGTCTTCCTCTTCATCGGGTCCAACAAATAGTACAATAACGTCATTTCGAAGGGCAATATAGTGAAATATTGGACCGAGGGCCAAAGGCCCAAGGTCCAATATTTCTCTATATTGCCCGCAGATTGCTCAGGTCGATATAGTAAAATGAATGCCTTCTAAACTAGCACTAAAACCCCTAGAACTGGCCCGGCAAGGTGGTAATAATGGTTATTTATTTACACAAATGGCAAATGCTTCTTCTGTAAAAAATCTGAATGATGGATGATAAATTAGAAAATTAAAGAATAAGCGTTTTAGAGCAAAATTAGTTTTATTTATTGAACGACCTGAATTTCTGTTTCAATCTTTATTTATTCATTTTGATCATCACATCATTATATTTTAATCATTATTCATCATCATTCATCATTTAGGTTAGGTCATTCGAGATATGCGCATTATGTACGAGACCCCAAACTGTATATGCACATTGTACGATACTTATACACTTTATGTACAAGAACAAACTGTATATGCACATTATGTATGAGACTTAACTTTATATGCGAGTAATGGGATAGATGTAAGTTGAACGATATAGTCCCCCTTGACAAGCATAACTAGAAAGACTAGAATATTCCAGATGCATGGGCATAAAAATCAAGATATTTTTCTTAAAAGGTTGAGCTGATTAGTAATACTATTCTTACTGAAAATTGTTTTTACTTGATTGGTACCTGTCATGAGATAGTAATTGTGATAAGATAAGTAATTCCCATGATTACAGTCGGAGGGCTTGCCATATTGCCATACCTAGTTTCTTACGTATATCATTCGTAGTATTGTGCGATAGTATGTGGAGAGACATGGATTGGGTGATCATTAGTGGCTAGAAATATGACACTAACGATATGAGTATAGTAATTTCCAATGGATGATCGTATATGTTAAGCAAAGGCTGTTTTGATGAGAAGTTACAATAAAAGAAAAATAGTGAAATAATCAAATATAGTCAATTCATGATAAACTCGTTGTTAAGTCCCGTTGTCAAAGTACCCCAAGTTTTGAGAATGAAACAAAAGAAACGATTAAAAAATCAACATTGGTCAATAATGCACAATAATTCATAGAGAAAATGTCAAACCTCTCATATCAGAAACTTTGATGTAGCACATCACATTCCGTCTTAGGATGATGCTGGATATTATTGCACTACAGAAAAGAGCCACCTATAAGTAGATAAGTTAAATATTCCTAAAAATCAGACATGGCTCTAATAGATGTCATCGCGATGAACATGCCTTCTATATTCGTCCATAATGATTGACATTCCGGTGTCAACGTTTAATTATAGACCGTACTAAATATGGTCCCTATATAAATAAATAGTACTGGAAAATATTGTCCGGGACTATAAGGCCGATGGACTATATTTCCTTAGATAGTTTAGTCTGTCTGCTAGAACTGGGTGTCCGGGGCGGACTTTAAATACCAAATTATGGTCTCTCAATAGTCACACCGGACCATATTTTTGAGTCATAAATGTCCAACAAATATTTTCTGGTTGTATGTCCACGGATATGTATATAAATGAAGTCTCTGTATAAGTAATACTTCATTGACATACAAGACCGTTCATGTAATACTGCTATGTCACCCAAAACCAAAGGAATTTATTCTTTCACAAAAAACGGGCGTGATGATTCCCGTGGTGCCATCTCTAAATGATTCAAGTCAGTGAATCGAGTGTAATTATGCATGACAAAAAATACATTTATGGTTGGTTCAAAATGAAAAATGACAAATAACATACATCTTTTGAAGTAGGGGTATACAGAAACATACTTGGAAATTCATAAAAGGCCATATCCCCAAGATTGCTTCACAAATATGTAACAGAACATCAAAATTATCATTTACACGTTTGCTGATAGGTTTATTGAAAATAATTAGCCAGAGGTTTACTTCAATTGTGGCACCATTCTTAGTAAATATTGATGAACATACGAATATCGAATGTTGACTATTGTTATTTGACTTGACCGTATAGTCAGCATAACGTCTAGTCAAAGTGGGCTCACAATAAAGTCGCCAACGCCATCTTTAAATGACAAGTCTAAAGTCAACGACGGATACAACCTTTGCTTCTGTTTCCGCTGGTAATAATGACAAATGGATAACAGCTGGTCCAAAAGGTCGCCACTCCCCTCCATCTAAAGTACCAGTGATAAAAGCAGTGAGCAAGTCCGATGCTCAACAGGTCATCGAAAACCGAATACAATTCAGATTAAAGGAATCAGAGAAGTGGCAGCAGGATACGTGTACGTTAGCAATATACAAGAGGAAGAGAACGTGTCTGACGTTGACATTCGAAATGCAATATCTCAATACGCCGAAAATAAAGGCATTTGAGTGATGAAAGGTATTGAAAGCCGAAGTGGTTCATAACAGCAGAGTGTGCGATGATCAAGTTGGCGTCAAACTGTACAATACCAGAGGATCATATTAGAGCAGTGATTAGTGATAATTTCTGACACAACTATCTCTTGTAGGATATGGGAACGCGCTTCGCATGTTACAGACGTCTATGGCATTATTTTTGCTTCTTTATTCATTAAATTCAAATATATTCGATATATAAAATATTTATATTCGCTAAATCATTTTTCCATTCGGTAAAAACGTTTATTTGTTTGTTACAGCAAATTAAGTTTTCAAAATAGCCAATCACTTAGTACTATGTGCATTAAAGGCCCAGAGATTTGGACCCGGGTGAAGCTATTAATCAAGCTGTCACAGCTCAGCCAATCAGTGCTAATGTGGTCAGTTTAAATGTCCAGCATAAACAGAAACACATGGTCTGCTACAAGTGAGATACAGCCTTATGCTATGTTTGTTTACTTCTAGACGGATAAGAGATGCCCATTGGCTGAAATTTAAACTGTCAGTTATGCTAATGAGCATATTTACAAAAAGAAATTGTCTTATTTCACAAAAACTAAACAAAATTTTCAGAATTTGATTTGAAATTTATAGTCATTATAGATTCATGAACCACTGTAACAAAAAAGAGCTTGTAACTCATCATAACAATCTTGTTATAGCAGAAAGTTTGAAAATTTTCTCATTTTGTTTGAACTGGACCTTTAAACTGCCATATTTGGCTTTTGTGGGCTGTTCCATCTGCCTTTTATACCCGCTCTCAGTCTTTGAATTACATATTTCATTCGTTAAATGATATCTTTGGCGTAAATTGTTATGGTATTCCTTAAGAGTAACACATTATATGCACAATATTGAATTTCTATTTTTGAACCCTACCGAAATAAGTTTGCCTATATTTACCAGATGGTTTATTTTTCTATGACATAGTTAATGCATTTTACCGAAAGCTAATTTGCTATTTACCGAATGCAATAAAGTAATATTCGATAACTTGCTTTGTTGTTCGATATTTTGTCACGTGACTTCGAGATTTGCAAAATGGCTGCGCAGCTGTTCTACATAGTACAAATATATCACGTGACTGAAAGTCTCGTAAATTATCGAAAAATAACGAAATTTATCGAATGTGGCATTCGGTATTTACCGAATATAAATAATTTAAATACCGAATGTACAAATAATTAATTGAATTATACGTGCGTTAAGGAAAACAAATTGATTCGCTGCATCACACAAATACATGTATAAATATCAAATGTGAATGTCAATATAAAGAACAAGTGAAACTATTTAGCGAATATAAATTGTATAGATTATTACATTTGATAAAATAAAAAACAGTCGATAGATTGGGTAAAGGTTTGGTAAATTGTTTGTTTTATTTGGTATTTATGGAATATTAACGTACCGAATAAAGAAGCAGTTTAAACACCATAGACGTCAACGTGACAATAGAGATGTAAAGAGAATATAGAGAAAAGTATATAATATATTTCAAATTATATTGTCACCATTTATTCAAAAGATGACCATAAATTGACGATGTGCAAAATTTTCAGAATTTTATGATGACTGGTTTAAGAGAAACGTGTGTTCAAAAAGTTCACCATATCGATACCAATCCTTTGTTTTTAATATTTTTGGAGGTTTTTGAAAATGCTAAATCAGGAAATCAAAAACCTCAGGCCTAATGATTTCGATTTCAAGATTATTTCAATTTTGTTCTCAAGTTCGAACACTTTCTTGTGTTCTCGTTGCGCATTTTCCTTTAATGCGGCTATTTCATGAGCTTTCTTCTCTATATTTTTTTGCATTTGTGTTATGACATCATTCTAATCACAAACTGGCAAATTACTCAGAAAAATGTGGAATTGGATCAATTTCAAAATGATGCATATTGTTTATATTTTCTGTAAAGGCCGATAAATCTATTAGCACTTTCATCAATACGACGTTTTTCATTTTTTCTAATTGGGAAAGAAATCTGAAAACAAGTTTAGCTCGAATGAATATTTTCCTGTAAAATGGAGATTTTGAAGAGGTATCTTTATTAAGATAACCTTTGACACCAAATGACCTGTACACAATAAATAATGTATTTAACATTTCTAAATAAGTCATCGAGATGAATGAATTATATAAAGCGATATGAGTTGATGACCAAAAAACGATTTGATTGTCATGATTTAAAAATTCTTGTATAGTGTTATATTAAACAGTGAGTAAGGTACCAATTAAAAATGTGAAATAAACAAACTCAATCTACACAGTTGGTAAGATGTTATCAAATATTTAGAGGTTATGTCACTATCGTGGCATACATACCCGAGGTCTCAGTGATATATGGCCCGACCTTGTGCCACGATAGTGACATAAACGATTTATAACATACCTATGATGATGTAGACTGGTCAGAGAGTACCGTTTTCTTATAGAATTGACAAACAAATGGTTTCACGCCTAACCATCGACAAGGTACAGTCACGTGACCGTGACAAAATATGCCGTAGTACACTTTTGATGTACAATGTCACTATTAACTGATTTTAAGCAACTGATCATAGCATCCGACTATGATGTAGGTTTGATGCAGGTTTCAAAAATAAATTTGAGGAATACAAAAAGGATTTCCTGTTTGATTTCGCGTGCATTCGATTTCAAAGACATTTATTTTTCTAATTACGTTAAAAGATCTTCGAGCAGTGCTCGATTTTTTTCGTTGTACGTCTACCCATACAATTGTTCGGTTGGAAAAATGTTGTTTTTTACACATTTCCTTCGATAATTTTCTCCCCTGACGTCTCGGAGTGTCGAATATTTTAATGAGAATGTGTTTCTCTAAACTGCACAATTTAAGACGGGTTAGGATTTAATAAATATTCATGCATTTGGTATAATTTAAAAAGTCAGAAATGTACGTTGTCAACTCACAGTATATGTTGTCCCTGTAATTGAAATTCATGAGTTATAATATTAAACATTGCAATGATTTAATTTCAAAATGCATTAAGGGTTTTATGCGTAACAAGTGATGTTCAACGAACATGCTCCTGAATCCCAAATACAGATAAACAGGTAAACGTGATTTTTTCGTTGAATGCTATTTTATTTTATGAAAGTGTTAATATGGTGATTAATATGTGACCATGGCGTGATATCTTCCGACCTTTTTGGCCACTCGGCGTCGGTACGTTACGTTATGTTTAGTTGCATTTTTATGAATTTTAATAATCTCAAGGAGTTCATGGAGAGATCTACGATATACTAGCAAGATGACTTTCAAAATTTATGCTATAGGGTGTCCCGAAAGTATGGGCCCCCTAGGCAGACATATACCAATGTCTCCATAGTATGTGTCATATATCATTTTAGAGCTCATCCAAAGTTATTTTAATTTGCCGAGTATCATGGTTCAACTCACAAATGGAAAAAGTTACAGGAATACAAAAGTTAGTGTTTGGCCAAAATTAAAGTCAGTTTTACATCAAAACAATAGTCGGTGTGTCTCCTTAGCCGCCATGTTAACAGCAGCAATACTTTCCATATATGACCTTAAACAGGCTTCAAATGGGGATATGGCGTTTTGTAATCCTCATGAAACCTTTTTAAGGCATAAGAAGAGTTTCCTTGGAGTATCTACCCTAAACGTCATCTTTTTAGAACTCAATAGCCATCCTATCTTCGAGAATGGCATCCATATTTTCTGTCACAGGGTCAGGGCTGTTTCCAGGATACTGAAATGAACTATCTTTTTGACAAAACGCTAATTTTTGAAATGCCTGTTACTTTTTACCATTTGAACCATTATATTTGGCAAATCAATGTAACTTTGGATGAGCTTAAAAATGATATATGACACATACTATGGAGACATTGGTATATACTGCCTAGGGAGGGGGCATACTTTGGGACACTGTATATCTGGAAAGTGCAGAAGTTCAAAAACCAGGTATTGAACACAAAAAAAAGAATTAGTAACATTGACATTTAATCATATCAATGACAATTTTATGGATTAACGGAAAAAATATTAGGGTAAATATATCCGATATGCCTATTAAATATTATTACTTTATTATCAAATATGTTCCTTACACGTACATTATAGCATTTCATCCACTGTAAAATTAACTGTGAATTGAGATCTGTAAGGCCAATGTGACAACATACATTCGAGTTGACAACATACATTATCTATTTTTCGTAGTAGCATCCAAAGTAAAAAGCGGTTTTGCATTAACTCTGAATGTATATTTGTATACTTATCGTAAGTTGTGTTAGTCGTAGTTTGGCTGTTATTTGCATAGCAAAACAAAAATTAGAGAGAATTTTGAGAAATTCAGTCAAGATTTAGAGATCCCTGACGTGCTGGGTAGATCTATAACAAGATATTGAAGTTGCTGAGGATCATTTAAAGTAGATATGCATATTTGCAACTTAATTACAAATCGAATGCAACAACTACCTGATGATGAACTGACACAATATTGATCAAATCAATGCTAGTTCTTTCCTCGCTTCCTCATTCTAGAAAATGGCGATCTAAAATGGCGGAAATGACATAGTACATCAAAAGTGTACTACGGTATATTTTGTCAATGTCACGTGACTGTACCTTGTCGATGGTCAGGCGTGGGTTTGAAAATGATTGAAATGAGTTTAGAAAAATTGCTCGCGCAGTTTTAACTTCGATTGATTGGTTATTACGTCAGCGCCTTGACCAATCAGAAAGTTATCGGGCGCGGGCTTTTCAAAACTTATATTGGCCCGCTGTCTTGTGTACACTTTGCACTATACATCATCATAGGTATGTGATAATGTACCTTACATTTTCCAAATACAGCAAACGATACTTTTTACAGGATCCCACCCTTGGTGCACCACAGGTGCATGTGTAGTCTGAAAATACTACTGAATAATAAGGATTTGTATCGATATGGCGAACTGAATTCAACATTGTTTTTCTCTTAAACCAATTATTGAAAACATTCTGTAAAAAACACGTATACAACATTTTCTTAGACCTCTCAATACTATAGTAATACAAAAGAAAATTTAGTCAATTTAAGAAAAAGTATTCAAAAAATTAAAACAAAAACCCCATTTTGTTCAAATGAGGTTCGGATAGATGTTTCGATTCATTCCGAACATCAGTTCGCCATATCGATACCAATCCTTTACACGTAGCATCTAAGAAGTTTTATTTATAAAAGACAAATTGCGTCATCTATTTCTCATTAAAGAATAGACTTTGAAACTCTCTATTACTAAGGTAGTTAGTTATTTACAAGACTGTGCTCGCGTGGAATATGAATGCTTATACCTGTTTAGTTTTTGTGTTTGTTGGAATTGTGGCTGGTGGAAATGAACGAAACAGCAGATGGACACATGTGCGCACGGTGGACAGTGGTTTCGCAAATGGATTGGAGGAGAAACTAAAAGGGATTGAACAGCGCCTCTATAGGTTGGTTAATTATATTATTTCTTATAAAGGCTGCTTTCGCAAAAGTCACGTGATCACAGTCAGTCGACGACGGGCTATTCGTTATTTCAACCTCAAAATGACGGTTTGATTTATAATGCAAATTAGTAGGTTAATAAATCCGGCAGCCGGCAGATGCATTTGCGAAAACATGCTTAGTCGTTTGTATTGGCAGGCTTGTGAAGTGTTACTATACAGTGCGTATCAAAAAAACGCAACAGATTGTTATCTTGGAAAAGCACAAAGCAAGTGATAACAGCATTGATTTCATTCAATGCACCATAAAGCCATGTGTCTCGGTTTATTCCCATTTCGCCCCTTCCCATTTCGCCCCTTCCTATTTCGCCCCTCATTTATTCCCATTTCGCTCCTTCCCAATTGGCCCCTTTCCCATTTCGCCCCTTTCCCATTTTGCCCCTTTGCCATTTCACCCCTTTCCCGTGTTGCCCCCTTCCCATATCGCCCCTTTCCCTTATCGCCCCTTCCCATTTCGCCCCTTCCCATGTCGCCCCTTCTCCATTTCACCCCTTCCCATTTTGCCCCTTCCCATTTCGCCCCTTCCCAATTGGCCCCTTCCCATTTCGCCCCTTCACTTTTTGCCCCTTCCCAATTGGCCCCTTTCCCATTTCGCCCCTTTGCCATTTTGCCCCTTTGCCTGATTTAAGGTCATTGGGACTCTTGTGAACCTCTGTGACCCATGATTAAGTGAACTAAGGTCAAGGTCATTCCAAGGTCAAGGGTCAGTATCTAGGTATTTTACTTTTTAATACCTAGGGGCGAAATGGGAAGGGGCGAAATGGGAATGAACGAGGGGGCGGAATGGGAAAGGGGCCAATTGGGAAGGGGCGAAATGGGAATAAATGAGGGGCGAAATGGGAAGGGGCAAAATGGGAAGGGGCCAATTGGGAAGGGGCGAAATGGGAAGGGGCGAAGGGGGAATGAGGGGCGAAATGGGAAGGGGGCATAATGGGACGGGGGCGAAATGGAAGAGGGGCGAAATGGGAAAGGGGCAATTTGGGAAAGGGGCAAAATGGGAAGGGGCGAAATGGGTAGGGGCGAAATGGGAAGGGGCCAAATGGGAATAAATGAGGGGCAAAATGGGAAGGGGCAAAGTGGGAAGGGGCGAAATGGGAAGACACCATGTGTCTCCATTCTTTACAATGATATATCATTCATTGATATTTGGTCATGGTTGGGTGAGTAATCATTCCATTTGCAAAGTGGGCCAAAATTAGCTTCGGGCCAAGTTATCAACATTGCAAAAGTCAGTGTACGGAGCCCGATGCAATATTGGACGAAAACATAAAACCAATGCTGACTGCATCCCTTTAATTCAATGTACCAAAAAGCCAAATTACTCCTCTTTGCAATGGAATATCATTCATTCACAGGGAGTCATCTCTGGCCGAATAATCATTAATTTTGCAAAGTGGGGCAAAATTCAGCTCGGACCCAAGTTTAAAACATTGCAAAAATCAGTACAATGGGCTATATTGGAAGAAGGTGTGACGGGTATGGCATAGACAGTAAAGTGTTTATACTCATACTCTTGCAAGAATACATCCTATACCCCTTCAAATTGCCACCACTTCCTTGCACATAAAGATGTGCTCATCTGTGCACGACATGCATGGTTCAGCCCTGAATCATGTGTGGGTTAAAGCAAAGAAAAGCAGCCCATGGGCAAATCAAATCTTTCTCGAGGTTTTGCAATATCTGGTGGAGGAATTGTGAGCACAGATGCTCCTGAGATACAGTAGCTCCAAAAGAAAAAGTCACAACAATTCAAGTCAAGGGAACTTCCATTGGCACTTAGCCCTTGCACTGATTTTTTCAATATCTAAAACTTGGCGCAGAGCCGATTTTGACCCACTGTGCAAATGGAAGGATTTCTCACCCAACCATTACCACATGTGAATGAATGACATATCATTGCAAAGAGGAGAGACATGGCTTCATGGTACATTAAATGAAATTGATGTAGGCATCACTAGTTTTGTGATTTTACGAGATAACCATGTTGCGTTTTTTTTATACGCCCTGTACAGAATCGAAATTTAAACATTTGTAAATACAGTATTCACATGGAGTATATACTCTGTATAAGTGCCTTAATTGATATTCGTGTTTTTAACTTGACATGATTAGTCCTAGGTTCATAAGAGGTAATAATTGACCTACCCATATTAGCTAGTTTGATAAAGCAACCATAGGCTCGAGAACATGTGCAAAATCGAGTCTGAGTCCAAGAAAAAACATTCATATCACACACTAAACAGATACGGATGCATATATTTAAATATATCTTATGTTTAAAATATATATCATAGAAAACCAGCTATATAACCACCCTGCTATAGCATGACGGTTACGTTACCTCTCAAAACGAGGTTGGACGGCGACGTTCACTGATTTATCCAATAAAATAGCCGCGATGGAACAGACAACTAAGGTTGGTGCATTATTTTCTACTACTGTGTATCAATGAAAGGATGAACGATTTATGTAAGCATCGCATTCGGTGATGCATTTATTAATGTATATTTTGAACGTAGTGTTTGCAAATTGATGCCCGGGAGTTTGAAATTCAAAACTACACAAAATTTAGTAATTTTTTTTTATTTTTGTCGTTAGTATAACATATAAAATATTGCATATTTGCACGGCGTATTGTTTTGGCGTCACTACATTTTAAGTAATAAAACGGTGTCTTATGCTTGAAAAAAGGTTATGTGATATGTATAAAAGGTATGGTACAGGGTGACAACAAAAAAGCTTTACCCAAAATAATGCAGTATATTATTATCAAAGTGATAGTTTGGGGATATGATGTTATGATGATAATGATCAAAGATTGAACATGTTATGCAATATATTATTCAGGGTGGAAGACAAGTTTAAGACTATTTCCAAAACACAAGAAGAGAATTTGGAACAGACAAAGATGTATAGTAAATATGCAAAGATCAACACGGAGATCGTGTACAAGATGAGTACGTTATTTTACAGGCTTATTATTATCTTTTTTAAAAGTATTGGCTGATTTTTTATGTCCATAATAAATTATTACGTTTTTTAACAGAGGGTTGGGGCTTATAGCATTATCCCCCTCCCCTAATCTAACATTATTGTTATTTATACGATGATAATGTGTGAGGAATATATTGATGTTACTTGTAATTTCATAATACCATCCTCTTTTGGAAAATAAGTCCAACATCTTGGAAATTTATCGTTTTGAGTGAGCTGGATTGATAATTGTTAAATTATCTCGGAGACTTTACAGATTTTAGCATCGGAAATATCAAGCTTACGATTGTTTCAACCAACAAACTATCCCATTACCTTATAAATGATAGAATAAGAGTATTCTCATCTCTTAAGAGATTATTACAAATGATTATTAAAAAGAATTGTTAATGTCTCATTATGGCCACCATTTTGGAATTTATACTCGATTTCTCAAATCTTACAAACGTTAATTTTAGCAAATAATTGCGACAAAGAAAGAAATCATCTTCGCTGTCTAGAGTCCGGCGAATGTATACATGAACTACTGGTATTGTATAATATTAGTTAATCTGAGGTGCTTTTGCCTGTTTTCTTTATTAGACGCCATATTGAAAATCTGGAGTTAATTGCTTTCACCAGTTTTCTTTCGCTCCAGATTGAAAAGGTAAAAACTGTGTTACGCGGTATATGGCATACATTCATGGTTGCGCGGTATTTGTGATACGGGTGAATATGCCATACTCACCTGCGGTATATGGCATATTCCGCAGGTGAGTATGCGATATTCCGCAGTGAATATGCGATACATTGATTTCAGTGATTACCCGATACTCACCTGCGGAATATGTCATACTCTCTTGCGGAATATGCCATACACCGCAGGTGAATATGACATATACCGCAGGTGAAAAAGTGATACAGAAAGTCTTGATTTGATTGGTTGCGAGAATCGACTCTAAATCTAAAACTACGCTGTATTACCATTATGATTAGTGCGTCGAGTACTTATATATGAATCCTGGATTGATTGGGTAAGTTTATTACGCGAGATTGGTGACTGATACTTCTGCTAAGTTAATATATTCGATACACAGTACTGTTGATTCAGTAATCATTACAATAATTAATAACGTTTTACTGTTTCGTTCAATCGATGCAATTGACAATTGCGTACTTCCGTATCACGTTCTCATTGGTTAGTTTGTATGCCATATACCGCAGGTGAATCTGCCATACACCGCAATTGAATATGCCATATTCGTTGCGGAATATGACATATTTTTGTATCGTGTTTACCGCGTAACAAACTGGGTCATTTACTGATTTTCCTTATTTTTGCGATTCTGACACTATACTTTCATATTATTCTTCTACATTTGAGTACCAAGACTATGCTATTAGGGCTATCCATTTGCCGGTAGGAAGTATTTTGACCAACTTTTGAGATATGGTGTCCGAAAAGTAGGTCAAAATAAAAAGTTCTCCAAATTTAAAGTGTGAGTTATGAAAAAGTGTAGAATTATTCGCATTTGCCAGTATCCACGTTGCGAATCGAATCGATCAAATATATTTTCAAAAATTCCAACCTATTGTCTTGGTCACATTTGCTCCGATTTTCACAACGGCGCCCGACGGATTGAGTATTTTGTTCAAAATTGAATACAATATTGAACAAAACACTTAATCGGGCAGGCGCCGACCGATGGATCGGAGCAAATGTGACCCAGGCATATACCTACTAATGCCTGGGTCACATTTGCTCCAATTCATCGGCTGGCGCCCGGGCGATTGAGTATTCTGGTCAAAACTGTATACACTTTTGAACAAAATACTCAATCGGCCGGGCGCCGGCCGATGAATCTGAGCAAATGTGACCCAGGCATTACTCAGCTACCTACATAGCTTCTTACTCAGCTACTTACTTAGATATTTACCCAACTACTCACTCAGTTACTTACTCAGCCACCTACTTAGCTTTTTACTCACTACAGTTACTTACTCAGCTACTTACTCAACGACTATTAGTTCTGTATTTTTGTATGCCCGCTTTGCTAGTGAATTGTGTAATGTTTGCAGTGCTCATTACACCCTCATGAGTTTTCAACAAAAAAGCTCATTCAAGCGCACTAACACTCACATTATTCTTTTGAAAGACGTCTGTTGGTGCACTAGCAACAAACCGGCGCGGTTGACACACGCGAGCAGCCGACAAGGTTGCCACAGCGTAATTAGCGGTTTAAATGCGCTTGGATGAACTGCTTTTGTTGACAACGTCTGAGCATGTAATTTGCAGCGCGTGGGATTATTGTTCTTTTTCGTGATACCTAGGAGGAATACATTTTATATATTATGCAATGCTCTCGCCCGCGGGCAGTTTAAAGGCGCAGTCTATGCTACTTACTCAGCTACTTAATCACACTGTTGCTTACGCAACTCTTCACTCAGCTGTCCAGGTCAAGTCAACCTGAAGTCTTAAATTGAACTTTGTTTGCCATTCTTTGATTCTATTTTCAATTGTCTCGTTAAGTTTAAAGGTTTTGTCAAGGTAAGATTACTAATTACGAAACAATTATCTGGATATATTAAAAAACGTTCAGTGAAAAATGCTTACACTAAATACCCTCCAAACGCAGTAATATCAGATCCAGCTGAACAAATACTGATTCTGTTCATTTGTGATTGGTGATTGGCGTATGAAAATGATTGTACATATATGATGATATATTTTAGGCTTGCGATGGTCACGTCGACTGTGCAGATGGTACCGATGAACGGGACGACGTTTGTAGTGAGTCACAAAAATTAAAATAGAATCACCTGTGGAATAATTTGTTTGTATTTTGTTTATGTTTTGTACCAATATGTTTGAAATATTTGAAGATATGTTCATCTCATTATCCCATTATCTCATTATCCCGAAGTTCGAGGGAGATATAGAGAATATGTCCGTCCGTTCATCCGTCCGTTTGTCCGGTCGATAACTCAAATACTGGTAGACGGATTTAATTCAGATTTTAAAGGCCTTATAGATGTAGGACCTCTGCTAGAGAAGATATTTTCATATGGCCGCTCAATTAGAAATGACCGCAATTTTTCGTAAAAATGTGATATTTTATAACTCGAATATTATTTGGCGGATATGGTTCAAATTTTATATGTTGATGCCTAGGGACAAACAAACTCTGCTCAATAAAGAATTGTCAATATGGCGATTTCACTGGATTGATTTGGATCAAATTTTATATCCTAATGCTAAGGGACAAAGGAACACTGTTAGAGAGGACATTTTCAAAATGACAGCTGAATTTCAAAATGGCCACCACTGCTTTGCGATAAAGGAGGTCTGCTCAAGAAGATATTTTCAAGATGGCCGTTATTTTTTAAAATGGCCGCCATTTGACGTTAAAAAATGTAATCTCTTTGATATCCCAAATAACAGTTGACAGATTTGGTTAAAATTTTAAATGCTGCTACTTAAAGACAAATGAGCTCCTCTCAAGCACGCCCGGTGATCGTGAATATGGGACGGAGGGGGAGCAGGCAATTTCTGCTAGGAAATTCAACAAATCTGGAAGATTTATTTTTTCAAGAAAAAGTTTACTATTGAATTGCTAAATGGATAGGCGCACGGTATGGTAGAATATGTTAGGTTTTCTGGGATTTTTTCTGAAACGATACGCATCTAAGGTATGAGATCTATTAAAAAAGGCGCAAGGCCATCAACAGGCACAAATCAACGTTTTTGCTATAAATCAAGCAACAATGGACTACACGACCTGTAATAAATACTTGTAAGTGATGTTATCATAACTAAATTAATGTCATTGCTGAATTTATAAAATAAGTTTCCATACGTAAAATAAAAAATAATCGAAAATAATTAAAATGGGACGGAGGGGGGGAGGGGAAAAGAAAACCTAACATATTCTACCATACCGTGTGCCTATCCATTTAGCAATTCAATAGTAAACTTTTTCTTGAAAAAATAAATCTTCCAGATTTGTAGCTCCGTCCCATATTCACGATCACCGGGCGTGCTTGAGAGGAGCTCATTTGTCTTTAAGTAGCAGCATTTAAAATTTTAACCAAATCTGTCAACTGTTATTTGGGATATCAAAGAGATTTGGTTTATATGCTCATATGCTCTGTTCAAGAATAAATTTTCAAGATGGCCACTATTTATCAAAATGTGTTTTGTTCGGTGGGATTTGCTACTCTGTGGAGTTGCTGTTTTTCTAGTTACATTTCGCCTTTTTTAACACCGGACAGGGGTATTGATTAGCCCAAGACTCGGCCATGAATTGTTCACTTTTGATTTAATAAACGAGGCTTTTGTATGAGAGCATTAGACCGAGACCGATAGATATGTGTTCCTAAGTTTCGAATATGAATTATATCAAGTTATAAAGAATGTGTACTAATCTAAAAGTATACATTTAACATGTGCCTTACATATATGGCGCAAATAGTCATGAATTGTTATTTATCTTTATCAGAATCATATAAAATGTAGCTACTGATCATTTGACCCTCTACACTTTTCTCTGAATTTTTCTCTTTTTCTGACCTTTGTTAACAGGGATATCATTGTTCCAATTCTATTGGAAATACACTTTTGATTGCGATCATTTTATTATACATGATCAGTAATGAGAATTCTACACTCCCCTCCATAAGTTTGGCAACTTTAGCTCCCCCATTGAACTGCGTGTTAAAGCCTCTTTACTTTTGAATTTTTATTTACTTAACCTGCGATGAAAATACTTCTACTATTGTTTGAAACGTAATTTGACTTTATTTCCAAGTTATTTCATCGCAGGTTAAGTGAATAAAAATTCAAACGTAAAGAGGCTTTAACACGTAGTTCAATGTGGGAGCTAAGGTTGCCAAACTTATGGAGGGGAGTGTACCATCATTTTATTGGTATGCTATCAATCCCAGGCGCTTTGTTATTCAAACTACGAGATATAACAATATAAACTAAAATTAAATTAAAAAATGAAATGTGTTGTTCCAAAACTGTTTACGCTACTACGCAATGAAGAACTAATACGTCTGATCAAATTCGACATTCCAGATGATTCCATATTTGCCCCTGGATTGCTGTACAAGGCATATATAGCGAGTGGTCAGACATGCTTCATGGATGCAAAAAGAGTTCACTTTGAATTTCTGTACGACAAGATAATTAGACGATCTCATCTCCCACAGGCGGTTTTCACCACGGGCAATCTCATATGGCGATACGAACGGTTAAACGGAAGGTAGGTACAGTCTAACACCAGATGTATAGTCTGTCACGTGAGGTATGAATGACGTGTTTGAAAATAGTTCGCAAGTCTTTCCACTTCAGGTTTGGAATGATATTTTAACATGATTTAGAATTTTCCTCACTTGTCCCTTATACCATCGATGTCTAAATACGATTTAATCCACCAAATATTTCATTCACGCGTGTCCGGCCGGAGAAATTCGCACTTTTAGTGTCTTAGAAAATAAAAAGCGGGCGAATGAATCGAATTTCACGCGAGATATAATAAACTGGCGATTTTGTTACAAATGGTGATCAAAAATATTATGTAATAATTTTCTTTTTTCATGGACACGTACGCATCAGTTTCTAGTACTAGCTCATAGTCAGATTGAAATAACTTTAAATGAATAAATAGAAAATGTAGCCAACAGCAATAAAATACGGGCAATTCTAAAGCTGTAGTCCATTATTTCCACAACTGAATCCCGTTGACTAGAATAATTGGTTTAGTTTTTTCTGCGCACCCTGTACTAATTGACTGTTATAAGTTAAGTGCTTTCTTTCTTTATAAATATTTTTAAGATTGGTGAAAGTAGCAATGGCTGGTAACAATAATGGCGATCTCATAGAGATCTCATACCATTGGTTGAACAGTGGTAACCATGGTAACTGGACAGTCATTGTTGGACAAAAGCCGAATTTGTTATCTTACCGCCTATTTTTAAACAAATTAAATTTGTATACTTACTCTGTTTCCACAGATAGATATTTAATAAATGTTAGAGGTTCGACTGACCATAACTCCTTGTCTAGATCTTACAAGATGCCTTATACATCACCCTTGGTATACGCAGCTAACGAAAATTGACCGGTACGGGTCAAAAGCTGGACCGGTACGGGTTAACGGTTTTATTTGAATTTAAAACAGCCATAACTTGCTCAATATTGACTTCCTCGTGTCTAATTTGAAATATATGATGCCTTCCGATGCTTTTAAGTACCCCAATTTTTTACAGATTTTTAAACAGACCAAAACTCTCTAAATGCGCATTTATGCTCTTTTCTCTCGAGAACGACTGTCTCATTTTCACGATAACTTTTATTTAGTACTTCTAACATATAAGATCTATTTTCCCCATCAAGGTATGATGTAAATGACATGCTATTTACATCTTGTGAGTTCAGTTCAATGACGCGCGTTTGATTTTATAAAAAATGCCAAACTTTTTGACAAAGAATTTCCTCCTGCTTGCAGCGAGAAGACGGACCGGTTCGAGGCAATAGCATGAACATCATATATTGCCCCGAACCGGTCCGTCTTCTCGCTTATCATCGTGGTATCACACATTTTAAAAATGCTTTAAAACTAATATTAACATACGCCTAAATCATGTATTGAATGGTTGAATAATATAACTTTTGCCTGATTTATTTATTTTGCCAACCAATCTTTGTTGCTTGATTCAAAACGAGGCTGATCAACAACGGGATCAACAAGTGCCGACTATGATTTTATCCATGTATGAATATATCGATCTGATATACATTTGTTCAATTTTTCACTTAATATTATTTTTATAAACCATTCCACGAAGTTGTTGTTTCCAAATCTTTGCATGGCCACGCAGCAGTTTGGGAAACAACATCTGAGTGGAATAAATGTTCGGATTGGCTGGAATCGGACACACCTTGCCTAGCTATGTGTGAATACTTGACGATGTATGTACGTGGCAACTAAACTTTTATTTGAAATATATATTCAAATCAAGATTTTTTATCAAAGACTCTTTCAAAATCAACTTTTGGAATTAAGTTGAAGTTTCACATAAGAATTTGTGATTACATTTCGTAGAGCCACAATACAAGCAAAGTGGTTTAATCTTCATAACCATCGAATACTGAACCTTTTAAATAAAAAGAATGCATTTATATTTTGACATGACAAACTGTGAATATATTATTCATAACTTTATTTTGTTGAAGCAAAGTGTATGAATCCAGAGACTGCAATGGTACATACTTGCTGGGTAGTGGGTTTGAGCATGTTTGGACGGTTGAGAAGGAACCAGTTATATTCAGGGCATACATACCATACTTCATCCGTGAAACGCCAGCACGATCTTACATTTACTTGGGCGACAATCCGATACCATGTGGATGGTGTACATGGGTGATACCAGAGGAGTTTGATGAAAACGTCAGAGCAGTGTATAGCAACGAATAGACAACTTCTTGAATTGACATGCAGTTTTACTGATTTGTTTTTTCATTCTTTTTTGGGGATATGATTGATGATAAAAAGTGATCATGATGAGTGGTGTATCCAATACACTACACTGGCGGATCTGGGGGGCAGGGGCCCTTTGGTCATTACTTGGCCTTTTAATGCCTTATTTTTAATTTTAGGCCAAATTGTTATGCAAATGGTCCTCAAAAAGTTTGGACCCACTTTTTGGTTCTAGTGGCCCAAAAACATTTTCAGCGCAAACGCGGAAGTTTTTTCTCAGACCTGAAATTAATGTACATCAAATTTGATCTGAAATAAATGATTATTAAAAGGTTAATTTCACCTAAGTGTGTCAGAATATAATCAAAAAGTGAACAAAGTTCTGTCTATATTATTTTCTATTAGAGATAACTCGTGCTATTTATCGTTTTCAGCTCAAATGTTATCATCAACATTCCGACCCCCCCCCCCCCCCCCCCCCCCCCCCCCCCCTAGTAAAACGAAGGGTGTGTGTCTCAGATTCATCAAGTTTAAGGATAGATTGGGTGTTGATTATCTTTTTTATAAGTTTTTATTGAGATAATTGCATTGCATATTTGCTTTGCATTAGATCAACAATAAGTCCTTAAAATATAGCATTCATGATAGCTATTTTTGTACTACATCTTGAGAATAAATCAAAATAATTGGCAAAGTAAACAGTAGAAAGTGACATTAAAAAGGGAAACCCACAGAGACTTTATACTGTCCCGTGTGACACACCCGCATTTCTTAATTAAGTACATGTATTTTGGTTTGGATTTGCATTGTCAATTTGATCAGATGGGTATTTTGGTATCTTGGAGTGACATCACGAGTTTCACCATGTTGAATTCTAAAAAATGAGCTATGCAAAGACAAACATGGACATTTTGGCCCAACCTGTACAAGTATATTGTCTATATTTACTATTAACAAAGAAATAAAGGTATCACGTCTGTAGATAGTATAAGTCGTAGGTTATTCTGATTTCTTATAGATTTAGTGTACTTTGGTATCAGTACAAGTCACTAAGGCCCTTTAATTAAAATGACTAAATATTTATAAATATATTCATCTTGAAGAATAGTTGGTGGATGAGAATGAATCGTGATAAACGATACGATTTAAGGCAGAACTTTCAAAGGTCTGTTTAATATTCAAAGTGCAAAATGAGTAAATGATTCTCAAGTCTTAATGTGGATGTCCAAATAGTGAAATGAATGCACGGATGTACCTTGATTTTTTCTAAAGTTCAGTAAAGAGAACAGGAAATCTGGAGGTCCATCATCATATGGAGATACACTCCCCTCCAATACCTCGAAAATTGATGATTTTGATGAATTTTTGAAAATCGTCATTTCCATGTAAACCAATGGGAAATGGTGGGTTCGGGGCAAATCAGAAATCAGGATATCTATTCAGAAGAATCAGCAACAAAATATTTTTGTATAGAAAATTGAATTGTCTAACTTTTTTGTACACTAATTGTTTAGTTAACTTGATGCATACTAAAGTTACAGAGCTTCAATGTCATTTTTCGTAAATTATTTTCGCCTCCTGTGTTATTTCAATGGGACAGGCTCTATAACTTTGTTAAACCCGAAGAAACATATCATTTTTGTTAAATAAAGTTAGCAAATTCAATGTCTTGCGGCAAACCTACCATTCCCCATTGGTTAACATGGGAATGTCGATTTTCAATTTATCAGCAATTTTCGACCTATTGTAATTTTAAGGAAAGAATTGAGAAAATTTGGAGGTATTGGAAATAAACATAAATTGCGTTTCCATCAATATTAGGAACTATTTTCATCGCAGGTTAAGTAAATAAAAATTCAAAAGTAAAGAGGCTTTAACATGTAGTTCAATGGGGAGCTACGGTTGCCAAACTTATGGAGCATGTGGGTAAAATTACATTGTGGCCAATTTGAATTTTTCTTAAAAAGTGCAATATTTACACTGTTTGTCTTGTTAGAATAGAGGTCCATGTGACATGAGATGATATCAGCCAAAAAATATTCTAAAATTGAAACATTGATGCTAGATCGGACTGATTGTGCCTTTTAATCAGGGGGTATAAACGCGTCCAGTATTTTCGTCTGACCTCCATTTATGATCCAGAGAGAGGTAGGTTGGATGCTCAAACTTAACATGAGACAGGATAGTTAGTTTGCTTGAAACTGTACGAGTTTCATATAATTTAGTTTATTGGTAGAGACACAGAGTCAATGCATATTTTCCTCTCATACGATGGCTTTAAACTTGTTTTTTGGATTGAGTAGACATATATATGAAGTGCATTACAACTGCATTGCATTGCAACTGCATATTTTGAAGGAGAATGAATATCAGCATAAAAACTACTTAAACATGATTACTACTACAGTCCATTGACAAATTACTTAGTGCTAGAAATTTCCAAAACTGCTGCTCAGTACAATTTTTATATAAAAAACGCTGCTCCACCTAACTTAATAATTGAAAATGTGTTTTGTCTCTTTGTCGCTACCAATGAACCAATTTATATGAAACGCGGACAGTTTCAAGCAAACGTATTACCCTGTCTCATATTAAAGTTTGAGCATCCAACTCCTAGCATGATAAAATCTGGAGACAACGGACTTTTTGATCGGCCCTCGTAGAAATAGGCTCATCAAAGGCTACTGCCAAAGTTATTTTGCCCTTAGTTAGATAATTTAATATCTAACGAATTTAGTTTTATTTTAGAAACTTTAAAGTATCAGGGTTTTACATATTTGTACATAAATGGAATTATTATATACAAAAATGGATATTTCCATGATTAACAAAAGATCCCAATATCGATCAGGATTTATTTGAATGTCATCTTTGACAAAGTTATCAATGTTTAGAGAGAAGGAACATTAATTTTCAAATGCAAAATTGTGATCAAATTCTACATTATTTTTCAGATGACTCACTTTATGCCCCCGGACTATATTTACCGGTTAATTAAACGTGCTTCTCGGATGCAAAAAGAGTTCATTTTGTTGTTGCATTTGATAAAGTAACGAGACGCCCAGTTTTTATTCTTTTCTGGTATAGCTGAATGGCGATACGAAAGGATAGACAGAAGGAGTGTAATCGCCTCGTTTATCGTATATAATTCTACCTTTCTTTGGATAAATAACAACACGTTCCAGGCCTGGATAGTAGCCAGTACATTCGGGGGTTCGAGCGACCCCCTTTTCCTCCCTGGCCAAAATGTCTCTCAAAATCATGCATTTTTACGATTTTGAGCACAAAAATTGTCAAATGTGAACCTGGACATTTTTGGTGACCCTTGACAAAAGGTGGCTACGGGCCTGAGTTCTTACCATGAGAGAACACAGAGAACTAATCACATATCACTGACGGATTTTTTAATTTTAGGCCACATTTTGAAAAAAATGGGCCTCAAAAGTTCACAATATGGGCCCACTTTTTGGTTTTTATTACATAGTGCTTATAAAATGAGTTTATGTTTTCATAATGTCATGTTATTATGTAAGTTTTTAAAATACCAGAAAACTATGATGTAAACTCATGATGTAAACTATGATGTTTACTCGGTGCAACGTAAAGCAACGAGTAAATGTAGATCTAGACTGACCTATTTCTCCGTAATTAGAATTAAATGTCATTTAATGTGTGAATGTGAATGTTCCAAACCACTATTTTAAAGACCAAACAATTTCTAAATTGCTAAAATGATATGTTGTCTTAAAAGATGGCACAGAGATCATTCCAGAGTTCTACAAAAACCATATGCCATTAGCTGCTGCCATCTATACTGGTGTAAGATAGATAAAACTCGTGAACTTTTGAATAGATGTCGTACTTATAAATACTACTTACATACTGGCTATGTGGCTGATGCCTTGGTCACATTAGCCACGATTTTCACTACGGCGCCCGGCAGATTGAGTATTTTGTTCAAAATTCAATACAAATTTGAACAAAACACTCCATCGGCCGGGCGCCGGCCGATGGATCGGAGCAAATGTGACCCAGGCATTACAGAGCCTTGATATACAAATACATGATATGTGACTTTGTTAAATAAATCATTGTAACATAATTTTAACATAAGTATTATGACGTTTTCAGTATCATTTCTGATAGTGTAATACTAAAAAGTTCATTTCTAGTTTTATCACTTGATAAATTCAATAATAAGCAGCTGGTTGCCTCTTTGCAGTGGTGGATCCCGGTTGCAAGCCCCCCCCCCCCTTTAGTGGGCCCAGAATTGTTTTTAGTTTTTGGCCCCCAAAATTTTGTGGGGCCTCAAATGCTTTGTATACTCCCATACTCCCTATACATGTGGCCGGCTGATTTTTCAAATCACCTCGCACAACTACTTGTGTATTGAAATCTTGTAAGCTGAATTGGTGGTTTCTAATTGAAAGCCCATGTTTAGACAAAATTCAGCGTTGTATACTGACAACATTTTCCAACTACAAGATTTAAATACACAAGTAGTTGTGTGGGTGATTTGAAAAATCAGGCCCACATTTATGGGGGTAATACTCCCCTTCAAAAACGGAAGTTTTATTTTGGTCCACGTGTTAAAGCAGAATTAGAGCTATTATGGGGTGAGAAAATTGTTTACGCAATATGTACAATAAATTGACCAATCGATGTTTTCTTTACCATCTCAAATATAATATCCCCCAAAAGATCCGTAGTATGTTATTAAAGATTTAAGGTTTTTTAAGATTCAAAGTGCACATTTTGTCACAAATCTGTAAGTTCTTCCAACCAACTAATAAATGTGGTGTCCACATTTACAAAGAAAGAAAAATCTTTAGTCTTCCTCAAATAAAGTATGCACTGTGGGGTTGTTTAAAAAATAGAAATGACAATGACTGATAGGAGCCCATGATAATATTCTACAAAAGACACAATGTTAGGTTTCTCTCTAGATCTAATACTAATTCAAATGTTTGGCGATTCGAAGTAACAACTTCATGCATTTTCTGACATTTGTGGTGGTAAGTTACTAATTATCAGGGGTTTGGTACTTATCTTCGATCCTGAAATTTCAAAAATTGAAAAACACGAATAACTTGTAATTTGCACCATCAATAGTCCTTGTTGCAAACCTTTTTCAGTAAATATAAGATTTTGAAAAAGTGCTCATATATTGTAGTTAATAAATGCATTGTTTTAAATAGATGAAGTGAATGTACTATACGCCTTTGCATTGCTTTTCGTATGTACCCTTTATAATTTACACATGTCAGTGTCGCTCACTTGATAAACTTTTTTTCGAGAAAGATCCCTTTTAAGGAATAAAATCGATTCGAATAAAAG